GGACAAAATAAATGTGTATAAATCCTGCCTCCATCTTCCATGTCCTGCCATGTGAAGAAATGTGCTTTTCTCAGCTTCTCAAAGCCAGCTGCTGCCAGCCTGTCTCAGGAGGTCTCTTGGACAGTTGTGCATCACAACAGCAAGCTAAGGGAGCTTTTCTCCTTTTCATCCCTGTCTGAGCTGCCTTTTCTTCTCTTGCTGGGTGGGATCATGTAGAATTCACCCCACTTCTGGAAACTCGAGAGCACAACCTACCTTGCTGTGTAGTTTTTTTCTTCCTTGCACTTAAGAAGTTTTCTCTTCATCAGCAAGGTAACACTTTATGCTTCTTATTTACTTCTCCTTGTATCAAATCATGTTTCACAGTTTCTTCTCACTAACAGGCCATCTTTTTTTTTGCCTTTCGTAATTTGCTTTAGCATGGCACTGGATTCTGTGTGCGTGTATAAACCGAAGGCAGAGGGTCCTGAGGTGTTGGCAGGCACAGTTTGCAGTGTTGGAAAAGAACTTTAGTGCTACAATTTGAAAACGAGCAAAGTTGAATATTAATTTAAAACACATGCTGCATTTAGAGGAGTGTGTGTAAGTTTAGCACTCTCTCCAGAGCTCTGACTTCTCCTTGCTTACTCTGTCCTTACACAAAATATTTGCTTTTACGTGGTCGGAAATTGTCAGAACATTTAGCACAGCACTTATTTTTGAAGACTGAATCTCTAGTCTGCTGCACACATCACTAGTATATGTTAGGCGATAGTTTAGTGCCAGCATTATCAATATAGAATGCTTTTCCAGCTAATGTCTAAAATGCACACGATTTGATTGAGGGGGGAAAAAAGTTTTGTAATGATTATATTAAATTCAGTATTGACTTAATCAGTGTTGAGACTACACAATGATCAAAGCAAAATGACTTGTGACCAATTAGTTGTCAACTATAATTTCTCAAGACCTCCACTTTTTCTTTTTTGTTGAAGAATAGTAATGAAGATGTAATGTTTGTATTTGAACACAAATCCCAGAGTAATCTCATTAAAGACCTGTGATGTTCTGTTTGCTGTCTTAGTGAACATGTCATGAAATGGTAGAGATTAGAGCTGCCTGCTGTGGAGGAGCAGCAGCTGTAGCCATCAGCTGGCTGCTTGGCAGAGCTGTGAGGAACCATGTAGGTTTTATCTAGGCCACACTTGGCCACCTGGTGATTCTTAGTGATCACTTAAAATATAAGTAGCAAAAAATAATTTACAACTGTGACAGAGCAAATTCAAACCATATTTAGAGTTAAAAATCAAGCATCTTCTAAAAGTCAGACAGCTTCATAAGAACTTATGTAGAAAATTATTGTCACTTTGTATTCACTTTTAGGCTTTGTTTACATGAGAACGAGCTCTGGAAACTATATTTTTCAGTGTTTGTTGTGGTGCATCAATGCCCCGCACAAAAAAAAAAAACATGTTTACATTAATCTGCTGAAGTTTACTTTAAATCTGCATTGTGTAAACAGGGACCTTGTCACCGAGACTAATGGTTAACACTTTCATTTAGCCCAACATTTTTCAGTCAGTTCATCTGGACAATTTCTTTTTTTTTTTTGCTGAAACGTTTCACCTTCCATCCAGAAGGCTTCATCAGTCAAGGAAACACACAACACAAAACTGATTCTTTCTCCAACAACTTACTCCAAAGTGGAACAAACCAGTTATGTTGGTGCTAAGATGGTGTCTTTGGCACGCGCCCTCCTCTGGAGCCGACCCTCTTCCTTCTCAACAGTCATTGTCAAACTTTCATTTAGCATATGCAAGGCTGATTAGCCTTCCTCTGATTATCCATCCATCCATTATCTTCTGATTGTTCCGAAGTCGGGTCTCGGGGGCAGCAGCTTGAGCAGGGAGTTTTAGACATCTCTTTCCACAGCCTCTTCCAGTTGTTCTGGGAGGACTCCAAGGCGTTCCCCAGCCAACCGAGAGGCATAGTCTCTCCAGCGTGTCCTGGGTCTTCCCCGAGGTCTCCGCACAGTCAGACATGCCTGAAACACCTCCCTATGGATGCGCCCAAGGATCATCCTTACCAGATGCCTGAACCACCTCAACTGGCTCCTCTTGATGTGGAGGAGCAGCGGTTCTACTCCAAGTTATGCCTGGATAACTGATCTTCTCACCCTATCTCTAAGGGAGAGTTCAGCTACCCTGCAGAGGAATCTCGTTTCAACCACCTGTATCTACAATATGGTACTTTCAGTCACTACCCAGAGTTTGTGGTCATAGGAACATAGACAGTCCGGTAAACAGAGAGCTTTGCCTTACAGCTCAGCAATCTCTTCACCACAATATACTGAAACAAAGTCTGCAATATTTCAGATGCTGCACCAATTCGATGTTCAATCTCACATTCCATTCTTTCCTCACTCGTGAACAAAACTCCAAGATACTTGAACTCCTCCACTTGAGGCAGAACTTGACCCGAAGAGAACAATTCACCCTTTTCTGGCTGAGGACCATGGCCTCAGATTTGGAGGTGCTTCTTCTCATCCCAGCTACTTCTCTCTTGGCTACGAACTGCTCCAGTGAGAGCTAAAGATCACGGCTTCGACCGGCTGGGTTTGGTAGGAATAGATACACAATGGCAGGTCAAGAATCACATGTTAAGATAGAAATAGTATCAAATGAAAACTATTCAATTTTAACAATTCATTTAAGGAAATGAGGTCAGTTTGTCCTCTAGTAGTCTAAGTCTATAGCAGCATAACAATCAAACCCTAACTATAGGATTTATGAAAAAGGAAAGTCTTAATCCCAGTCTTCAAACTGGACAATGTGTCAGCCTCACGGACAGAAACTGGAAGTTGGTTCCACAAGAGAGGAGCCTGAGAACTGGAAGATCTGCACTGTTCATCACGTGCATGAACTTACGCCTAGACAATTATTAGCAGGTTATATTTCAGATAATGCACATAAATTCTACTACAGCCACATTCCCTGTCTCGCTTATTTCTCATAAAAATGAGCTTAGCGCTCACATTGAGGACTTGTTTACCATCAATAATCAATAATAACACTAGTGATTCAGATGGCACTGACTACTCAAGCAAATTACCTTGCCATCTGACCACAGGCCCCTGTAGTTCATGCTCAGGTTTTTTTGTTGTTGTTGTTTAAAGTCACTGAAGTAACTAAAATAGTTTTTGCTCAGTGACTAATCTAAGATAAGACACTGTGTTTAGCATGTTTTCTCATTATTATATTTTTATTTTTTGAAGCATACAGTGTAGTATTGAAATCCCAACTTTGCTGATCAGTAATAAGCAGGAGTGGTGAGTGTCCAAGAAAAAATGTGTGGGAGAAATGAAGCATTTAATACAACCTGCAGTACCACTGTGCTACCAAATAGAGGCAGTGTTGTGCCATTACAGGTACACATTTATTGTTTAGCATTTTTGGTGGCGGGGTGAAGAGAGAGGTGGGGAGGTAGAACACCACTGTCAGTGTTACTCTGGCAACCTCAATTAAGACAGGATGTAGCTGTATATTGACACTTGTGAAAATTACAGAAAGGATATTTCTTTCTTCTTGTGCAGGAATTTGTATATATCTATTCTGTAGGCTACAAGCAGCTGAGAAGACGCGCTGCTGTACTGTCCAGTTCTAAAGGACAGATGAACAGAGGCTGGGTGTGTTTCACTAGCTGGGATGAAGTTGTACTTAAAAAAAAAAGAGATTAAATAGAACAATCAAAAGAGTTGAGTCATTGAGTCACTGCAAAATGTTGACAAAAAAGTTCAATCTGGTCCTCTGGACATTCAAAAAAACAAAAAACAAAGCAAAAAAATATATAGAAACGTTTCATCTCTCATCCTGAGGACTTCCTCAGTCTGAGGTGCTGTTTTCAGCTCAGTCTCTTAAATAGCACCTTCTCAGAGTGGATCAACCAGTTTGCTGCTGACAACCAAAACCAGCTGATCACATGCTCAAGAAGGACCATCAGCCTAACAATGGATCATTAGCACCTGATGGCTGTTTACTGTTCACAGAGGGCTGAGTGATACTAGCAATCACAGCAGCTGCAGTTTCTAGATCTTTTGCTTTGTTTTGTTTTTTGTTTTTTTGAATGTCCAGAGGACCAGATTGAACTTTTTTGGATTTTTCTACCTGGATTATTGAGCAGCATCAGGACACATTTACATTGTTACATTACATTTATTGTTACATTTACATTTTTTATGAAAGGTATAAACAACTGTGGGTCATTCCATACCTCTGCCAAATTTAATTTGTAATTTAATTTAATATCTTCTGGGGGGGTTCCCCCACACTGTTTAAGTTTGATGATTTTTGGATATTTTAACACAGAATGTTCAATGTATTGTAATGATTTTACACTAATTGTCTAATTGACTAAGTTGTCTAAACATTGCAACATTGTTCAAACAAACTCTTAACTTCTGCATACTTTATGCTTCTTACAGTTCATACATCTAAACTTAAACACTTTAGTCTTTTGTCCCAGAATGCACACATCCAAACTTTTGATGAATGTGTCTAAGCTCAGAATTTTTTCTTTAAAACTAGAAGTGATGAATCTTCATACTCTAAATGATAATTTTGGTTTACAAAATAAACCTAATTACCATAATCTAAACCATAATCTTAATAGAATTACCCACCCCCACCCCTCTAAGTGTTGCTATCCATCTTTGTAAACAGACTGTCAGACTTTTTTTCTGCTTCTATTTGGAACACAGAAAATAAAAGCCTGATCATAGTTTAAACATTTGTGTAATTGTTTATAAAGTAATTGTGATGTAATTGTTTTTATATACTGAAAACGTCAAATTAGCCCAAAAATAGACTCAAAAGTCTGAAAATGTGTGAAATTCTTAAATTGTAAAAGTAGGAACCCTATATAAAGTAAGCATAGTCCTAAAGTTTGTCAGGTTGCGTAATGTTAATGTAATGTTAATTTTGAAATGTCTTAACTCTAACCAACTGTCTCTCCATTTTTCACAGATTGCCTTCTCACAGCACAGTAACTTCATGGACCTGGTGCAGTTTTTTGTCACGTTCTTCAGGTGAGCAATGCAGGAACCACCTATCTCAGAAGGGACAATCTCCCTGACTAACTGTTGGAGGGCAGTTTTGTGCGTACAATCGGCCCTCTGTCTTCAAACCCAGGTGTGAACCATCTGTGCTCTTTTGTGACGGATTAGACCCATTTAATTTGTGAATCTGTGGTTAGCACGCACCCTTCTTTAGTCTCCAAGTTGCAGATCTTTTCCAATCTCAGGAGTCGAGTTGCAGAAATTCTTAACTTTTCTTAAAAAGGGGGTTGTAGAATAAAATGTGACTTGCAACACATCTTTTTGTTAACCTCGTATAGTGAAAGAAACACATTCTGACAAAACATTTTTGTGAGAGATGATTTTTCTTTTCTTTACCCTGAGTTGGTATTTGTTCAGATAAATTCTGGCAATGGCAGCACGGTGGCTCAGTTGTTGGAGCTGCTGCCTCTCAGTGAGCAGGTCGCCCTGGTTCAAATCCCGGCCAGGGGCCTTTCTGGGTGGAGTTGGTATGTTCTCTTCGTGCTGTGTGGGTTTTCTCCAGGTACTCCAGTTTTTTCCCCACTAACCAAAAACATGCATGTTAGACTGACAGGTAACTCGAAATTGTCTCTATGTGCAAGTGAGAGAGTGAATGGTTGTTTGTGTCATTTGTCTCTGTGTCCCTGTGATGGACTGGAGACCTGTCCAGAATGTCCCCCAACTCTCACACAGTAACTTCTGGATATGGGCACCAGTGAGCCCCTGTAACCTGAAAAGGAAGAAGCGGGTAAAGATGGATGATGAAAGATGGATGGATGGATGGATGGATGGATGGATGATGAATTCTGGCAATCAGAAGATTTACTTAAGTGCTGATTTCTAAGCAAGTTTGCTCTATGTCCAAGTTAAAGTTGTCAAAATAAGTCAAACAGACAGAAGTATTTAGTTATTGCACAACAAAAGTTCCCTGAACCAGCTAATTTAACAGCAGAAAGCTACTTGTTGACCAGAGCCGGCCGAGATGGGTAGAGGTCGGGCAGCGCAGCGGACTTAGGATCAGAAAGTCGCGGTTCAGCTTCCAGTCATTCCCACATGTCGTGGTGTCTCTGAGCAAGACACCTAATCCCCAGTTGCTCCCCAGGTGCTTACATAGCAGCCCACTGCTCCAGCTGGGTGTACCCCAGGTGTGATGGGTTAAATGCAGAGAACTCATGTCTCCATTTTATGGGAGCATACAATGGAGACAATCTCAGACTTCCTTTCCGTAATTCAACATTTATTTTTCTTCAATCTCCTTTTTGATCATTTTCTATTTTTTTCTTTAACTGTGCTTTCTTCAGTTTCATAACTCATGCCACAAAGAAGGTGTTTAATAGTATTTCATTGCCTATTTCCAAACAGCAAATTGGTGTTGTTGACTGCCACCAGTAGGTATGGAGTGCAGGTTAGAATGATGGAGAGCCATTATCATGGAGAGTAAATTTTTGACCTCTCCGCTGCAGATAATCATACCAAATCACAGAAAGTTGGGTTTTGCTGGATGTGAAGCACTTCCTTATATGCCTATGAGTAGAGTGAAGGTTTAAGAAACCATTGCAGTTAACATCTGTATGTGTGTTTGGTGTGTTGAGCCTTGTTGATGGCTTACCAAATGTTTACATCACTGTTACGAGAAGGCACTGAAGCTCATTGGTGTAAAGGTGCTGCTTTGCTGTCAGTACAAACTAAATCAAAAACATGGTTGCATTTCCAGCTGATTTGAAAAGTTGGTCCACTTACATCAAAAAGAACAGTTTCTAATTATATATTAGTTTTATTTTATTGGGGAGAGACAGAATACTGCAGAAAACAAACAAACAATGCTGTTGTGGGCGAAATGCTCCATTCCCAAGCTGAACATGATTGCCCCTTTTCAGCCTGAAGCTTCAGCCCCTTCCATAGATTTTTCACTTGATTAAGATCTTGAAACTCTTTAGACCACTCCATGATTCCAATGTGTTTCTTCTTTGGCCACTCTCTTGTCTCCAGTCCATCACAGGGACACGTGGAGACAAACAAGACAAAAACAACCATTCACTCACTCACATCTAGGGACAATTTAGAGTTACCAGTCAGCATGTTTTTGGTCTGTGGGAAGAAAGCGGAGTACCCGTAGAAAACCCCACGCATGCACGGAGAGAACATGTAAACTTCACTCAGAAAGGCCCCCAGCTGGGATTTGAACCGGAGCAACCTGCTCACTGAGAGGCATTAGTTCTACCAACTGCACCACCGCGCTGCCCTCAAGGCCTAAATCCTTTCTTTAGATATGTAAGGTGGTTATTTACAATGTTTGGAACACAAACAGGTTCATTCCAAAATGAACTGATGGCAGTTACTGAAGGGAAAGGGGCTGAATGGGATGGAACTGAAATGTGACAAATTACTTACCGCTATACTGTGGGACATGAGTGACTGGCACGGATACTGGTAATTATTTAAATGATTGAAATAGAAATGTTTCTGCTATGGCTGTTGTCTCCCTTCCACACAAAATGCTTCTTGGAAACTTTGGTGTTTGTTCACCCCCTCTGGTGAAGGAGCAGTCCATGCATGTTATCTGGATCTGATTGATCATTTCCAGTTAGGGATGGAGGTCCAGCTCCAGGTTTAGGTACCTCAGGGTGCCTGAACCAAAGACATCGGCAGTGAGTGGTGGTTTGGCTCTTGGGGTGCTGTTTACCACTACTAGCTGGGAAATTTGAGGTACCTAGATGGTTTAAAGAAAACGGACGGAGGCCTTGGATGGTTGTTACTGTTCTTTGGGAAAAACTCACAATCCAAAATTATGCTGGGGTTTGGGTGATTGTGGAAAAGTGCAATCAGATTACTCAAAAGCTTTACAAAATGTGTTAAAAAAGAAGGAAAAAGCTTTTTACAAAAAGAGGTATTTTAGTTTTCCTTCATCTCACAAGTTATTTGACTGTTAGTTTAATGAAAGTGTTTCTTTCACTGAGCTGTGAACAGTTGAATCTTATAGATGTAAGTGAGATCTTGGATATCTCGTATCTTGAGAGCTTCTACCCTGAGGCTGTTAGACTCATGAATCTCTAACCAGCATAATCACTGTGAACAATCACATCATGCTGCTGATCTCATGCTGCTGATCTTTCATGTTGCTGTGTTCGTTCGTGCTCATCTGCTCACACAGACTCGTGTTCATGCTGCTGTTTGGTGTGTTGTTTTTATACTATTAGTCCTTGGTGTATTTTATTAACATTTTTCTTAGTTCACATCTTAGATCTTATTACTGTTTTTCTTTTACATTTTAATACTTTTGTTGGATGTAACGGGGACCCTGTGTACATCATTTTGTTTTACCACATATACCACATGTGGTGTGTATGACAAATGAAGAACCTTGAATCAGGAATGTCCGAAATAGATTGATAATGTGTAATTGGTGTGCCATTAGGGCACATAACCAGTCTGTGGGAACTGAGTTGTAGAGGATCAAAAACCTCATTCCTCAATGATGTGCAAATAAAGTTCAAGGTTCAAGGAGACTTTGTTGTTGTATTTCATCAACTTCCTGCAGGATTAATACAGTTTTATCTTATCCCTTGTCTTCACATGTGGTACATGAGGTGGAACAAATTTGTGTACTCATGGTCCAGGACACCCAAAAATGGAAATATATATATATATATATATATATATATATATATATATATATACACACACACAAACCGGATTCCCAAAAAGTTGGGACACTAAACAAATTGTGAATAAAAACTGAATGCAATGATGTGGAGATGGCAAATGTCAAAATTTTATTCGTAATATAACATAGATGACAGATCAAAAGTTTAATCTGAGTAAATGTAACATTTTAAAGGAAAAATATGTTGATTCTAAATTTCACAGTGTCAACAAATCCAAAAAAGTTGGGATGCTTCCCCAATAACAAACCCTGGATCACCACTGACCTGAAGGAACTGCTAAACCAGAAAGAAGAGCCTTCAGGGAGAGAGACGGGGAATTATTGAGGAGCACACAGAAGCAACTAAAAGTCAAGATCAGAAACAGAAATATATATATATATATATATATATATATATTTGTGCCAGTGTAGCTCAAGTGTTCCCAAGTGTTTCTGGCAGTTAGTTTGCAGCAGCTTCTACAGAGCTTTTTGTTCTGCTTCAGCAGGAAACCGTTCTGATGGGGTGGAAAGACCAAAACAAATGCAGCTGCACTCATATGAAGCTCAAAGCACGTCAGGAGTTTTGCCTTATCGCTCCAGATGACGGCTTTAAAGTTGCACGTCGTTGCTTTTCAACACCACAGAAACATTTGTTGAAGCAGCTTTAACACTTTTTTCTTTAGCTCTAAATGCAAATGCAGGATTTTTAGGAATTTAAGAAATTTAAAATATCGTATCAGTCTGGGGTTTTACAGGTACTATCAGTGTTGTCATTTTATTGTATTGATTCTATGGCTTTTTTACTCTAACGTTTGAATTTGCTGCGTTTTCGTATCGCAGTATTTCATCTTTATGAGTCCCTCAGCAGTATACTGTAGTTTTAACATGGGGTCAACCAGTCCGTGCAATGCAAGGTGTAAGCGTTTTCACTCTTGTTCATCACTTCACAGTGAGTCACCTTAAGGTGTTCACTAGAATATGAAACAAGTTCTTCCAGGATGGTTTAGCAGCCTCGTGCTTTGTAACAACGGACACGGCAGTTTTATCACGTGCTCTAACAAATGTGAATGCCTCGAGCTCCACTGTCTGAGCTCTTCTTCAGGAACCGCTGTAATGTAATATTGATTTCCCCTCCCAAAAAATAAGTCATACAAAATGTGTATTTAAACATAGATGGCTGCATGTGTGTTTGTTTTATAGAGCCTGTTTGTGTGTGTTATATGCTCCTAAAACAACTGACCGCATTTTCCTGCTGTGCTGATTTTATTGGTCCAGCAGGAATGCAAAGGTGGAGACTGTCGATGGAGCAGATTACGGGGTTTCTTTAATATCACCCACCTCCAAAAAG